ACTAAATTTCTCTTCTATTTCAGAATGGCAAGAAATTATCAATAATCTACATGAGCTACAACCATGATCGACTTGCTGCTCGTACACCCCTCCTTTTCCATCTCAGTGGATCATGACATCCGCAATTTACATAAATTGCTAGAATCGAGATCAATCTTTTTCTCCCAAGAAAAATCCATAAAAACAATTTTTAGATTATCATATCTACCTGTAAGAACTAGCATCACACTAGAATATTCGACCAAACTACATATCCATGATACAAAGCGATTGGAAATATAGAAGACTGCCCTAAGCAATCAGAGCACTAAGTCAACTTTAAACAGATATAATATTCACATGCTCACATTCATTTACTTCACACCCAAAAAATAAATGAAATATAAGATAGATTAATGAGGTCAGAATTAGATAAGGCATCTTGTTTGAAATTCATGCCACAAAAATTTAAGATTAATAAGTGAAATAATAAAATTATAAACATAAAATATATCTTTTCATGAAAATACCTGCTCATAAGTTTTCTCTTGATAGCGTCTGTGGGGTAAATAGTAATTAAATAATTAATAAATATAAAAATCCTTTTAGTTAATTCAGCAACAAATATGATTAACTGAGTTAGAATTATAAAAATTCTAATAAATTAGACATATCTAAATTCTCGGAGCGTAAAATCTTAAAATTATTTGGAGAAAAAAAAAACTAATTTTGATAAATCCCATAAAATTATTCCTCAAGCAATCTTTTGAACGTTTAAATAATTTACAAAAGCTAATTTAATTATCAAATAATTTAACTAATGATTTAATTACTAATTATAATATCAATTATCTAGTTATTTATTTAGGTGTTATTTTAATTAACATTTAATTAATAATAATAATGGTAATTATCTAATTAATCATTTAATTATTTTTTAAATTTACATTTTATTTAATTTGTACTTACAATTAATTATTTAATATGTTATTTAAATATTATTTGAATTTTTTAAAATTATTAACCATCTAATTAATCATTTAACTATTATAATACTAACTATTTATTTAAATAATATATACTATAAATTATCTAATTAATGATTTAATATATGTAATATTAATTAAGATAATTGCATTAATTTCCAATTTATAACTGGTAAGCCGCGCTAGGGTTTACTTTTCCTGTTCGCCATTTCTTCTTCTTGTTGGGCCTTCGGTTGCTGCGCGTGAGGTAGCGTTTTGTAGGAGTCGCTAAAACCTTCTTCGCCTCCTTCGACGACGTTCCCTTCCTGTCGGATCTGAAGTCACGACTGTTCGAGCACGGATTGGAAATAACGACGGGAGCTCGCTTGCTGCTGCGACGGTAACTATCTTTCTACCATTTTCGCACGCTTCTTCGGCCAAATCCCGTTAATCTGCTGAACTCCCTGATTTAATAAATCCGAGATTTGCGGTTATATGTGAGAAACGAAGGATTTATTTCGCAATGAGATTTAAGATGTCCTCAAATATCATTTGTCAGGATTTAACATAAATCCTGCTCAAATCCTGCATAAATCCTGTATACAAACAGCTCCAAAAACTGTTTTTTGTGGTTGTTGTTTTAGATGATGATGTCTCCTTGATTATGTCGCAGAAGCATCCACGATAATTTCCACGCCGATTGTACCTTTTTTTCCCCTATGAATATGGTTATTCTATTTACCCTAATCTAATCGTTTCGTTATTCCAGAATTTCTTCCAGTTCACCAAGAGAGAACTAACTCTGCAATGACTTCTCGATTTTGGACTCAGGTTCTATCTTCAAACACTTGTTAACTGCAACCTTTAGTACCTATCGGGTTATTGATTGTGCTGGTGCTGGTGTTCTTTATTTATTACTGACCCCTTTCTTTCTCTCCCCTAATTTTGTCTTCCCAGGGTGGTGACAGTGATTCAGATGAAGAGGAGGAGAAACAAAGTGAGTTTGGTGATGGCAGTGATGCTGGCGGTGGGGCTGGTGAGCCTGCAGGTGATGGTAACCGCTACCTTCATGAAAATGCCAGCGATTCTGACGATTCTGATGGCCAGCACCGGGTCATCAAGTCAGCCCGTGACAAGCGTTTTGATGAGATGGCTGCCACAGTTGAGCAGATGAAGAACGCCATGAAGATCAATGACTGGGTCAGCCTTCAGGAGAATTTTGAGAAGCTCAACAAACAGCTTGAGAAGGTTGTTCGGATCACTGAGTCTGACAAAGTACCCAATCTCTACATCAAGGCCCTTGTTTTACTGGAGGATTTCCTTGCAGAAGCTCTAGCCAACAAGGATGCTAAGAAAAAGATGAGCAGCAGCAATGCAAAAGCCCTTAATTCCATGAAGCAAAAGCTGAAGAAGAACAACAAGCAGTATGAGGAGCTGATAACAAAGTATCGGGAGAAGCCTGAAAGTGAAGATGAGGGCGTGGAGGATGAGGAAGAAGAGGAGGGGAATGAATCAGGATCAGAGGTTGAGGAGGATCCGTCAAAAATTGATATGTCTGATATGGAGGATGAGGATGTAGAAGATGGAGATGAGCAGACTGAGGGAGATGGAGCTTGGGAGAAGAAGATGAGCAGGAAGGATAAACTTATGGATAAGCAATTCATGAAGGACCCAAGTGAGATTACGTGGGATGTTGTTGACAAAAAATTTAAGGAAATTATTGCAGCCAGGGGCAGGAAAGGGACTGGCAGGGTTGAGCAAGTTGAACAACTTACTTTCTTGACACGAGTTGCCAAGACCCCTGCTCAAAAACTTGAGATTCTTTTTAGTGTGATATCAGCACAATTTGATGTAAACCCAAGCTTGCTTGGGCATATGCCAATCAATGTGTGGAAAAAGTGTGTTGGAAATCTGCTCCTAGTTCTAGATATCCTTGAGAAGTATCCTAATATTGTTGTTGATGACACAATTGAGCCTGAAGAGCGTGAGACTGAGAAGGGTGTGAACCACAAGGGCACAATCCGTGTATGGGGTAGCTTGGTTGCTTTCCTTGAAAGGTTGGATTCAGAATTTTTCAAGAGCTTGCAGTGTATTGACCCACACACAAGGGATTATGTTGAGAGGCTTAGGGACGAACCATTATTTTTTGTAGTAGCACAAAATGTTCAGGATTATCTTGAAAAGGCCGGGGATTTCAAGGCAGCCTCAAAAGTGGCATTGCGGCGTGTTGAGCTCGTATATTATAAACCTCAGGAGGTGTATGCTGCTATGAGAAAGTTGGCAGAACAAGATGAAGTTAGTGATGGTGGTTCAGAAGGAGATGGAGTTGGTGAGTATCAAGCAGTTGAGGAACATAGAGGCCCACCTGCATTTGTTGTGATTCCTGAGCTTGTTCCAAGGAGGCCTACATTTCCTGAGAGCAGCAGGACACTTCTTGATTCTTTGGTGTCTCTCATATACAAATATGGTGATGAGAGGACTAAAGCTAGGTCAATGCTCTGTGATGTTTACAACCATGCCATATTTGATGAGTTCTATGTTGCTCGTGATCTATTGTTGATGAGTCACCTGCAAGAAGGAATTCAGCTTATGGATATTTCTTCTCAGATTTTATTTAATAGGGCAATGGCACAACTAGGCCTTTGTGCATTCCGTGCAGGCTTAATCACTGAAGCTCATGGATGCCTTTCTGAACTATACACTGGGGGACGAGTGAAAGAGTTACTTGCCCAAGGATTTTCACAAAGCCGCTACCATGAGAAAACTCCTGAGCAGGTATGCCTATGATAGGCGATGTTTTTTATATATGATTTTGTTTTCTCATTTATTAATCTTTAACTTTGTGGCATGTGTTTCAAACAAGATATATTGTCTAATTCTGACGTCATTGATCTATCTTATATTTTATTAATTTTTATGGTGTGAAGTAAATGAATGTGAGCATGTGGTTATCTCTATTTACAGTTGGCTCAATGTTCTAGTTGCTTAGGGCGATATTCTATATTTCCAATCGCTTTGTATCTTGGCTATGTAGTTTGTTTTAATATTCTTTTGTGACGCTAGTTCTCATAGATGATGATATCTTAAAAATTGTTTTGTGTGGATCGTGTCTTGGTAGAAAAAGATTGTTCTTGATTCTAGCAAAATTTATGTGAATTGTAGGATGCATTGATCCACTAAGATGGAAAAGGAGGCGTGTAAGAGCAAGTTGATCGTGGTTGTAGATCATCTGTAGATTGTTGTTAATTTCTTGACATGCTGAAATAGAAGAATAATTTAGTTAGGTTGCAATGGGAAGCGAGGATCTCAAGCTTGCTGATGAAAGAAGAGGGCTTAAATTATCCTTGAGAGTAGTAGGTTGGAATGTTGATGAATTGCAGTGTTAAATCGAATTAATTGGCAGTATTTTTAAATAAACTATATTTTTTGTTGATGAGAAAAGAGGACTTAAATTGTCCTTGAGAAGGTAATGGTTTGGAATGTGCCGATGCAATGTTAATTGAAATTAACTTTGTCGTGTTCTTGAACAAATATAATTTTTATAGAAGAATTTTTCTCTTGCATTTTGTGTTGAATATAGGTCAATTATTTACTTTAAAATTTTAATCAATAAATAGATTATATCAAAAATTAACTAAATTATAAAGTCTGACTTTCCTTCTTTTCAAGAGTGATAATTGTGTTGTAAATGAATGTTTATCTATTTGAAATAATGAAAGTTTTTGCCGATATGGTGGATAGTGATGTTTGATGTTTGAGATAGGAAAGGGAGGCAATCATGCCACCCAAATGTACAGAAGGCAACAAAACAACTACATAATTATGCATAGAAGGTAACCAAACTACTGCATATGAGGCGTTCCTCGAAATCGAGATGCATTCAAACGTTGGCGGGGCATGGACCTCGATGTCATTTTTTGGAGGGCGGAGATTGGGAATCCAACAGTTTGGACACAATAGGGAGTAATGGATTGGAGATTTGTATTGCTTGTGAAAGAGCGGCAACAAACTAGTCTTCCTGTATACTTTGAAGTCACTTTTTCTTCCTAATTTTTAGTTATATTCCAAATTAAGCCAAGTAAACATAAATTTTTCTACCTAATTTATCAACACTTCCCCACAAGTCTAGTTAGAATAGATGTTTATTATTCTAAACTTGGTTAATATACTTGAAAGCTCCTTTATTTAGGATTTTGTAAGAACTTCAGCTTGTTGTTAAGGTAGTATGAATATAAGATAATTCTATACCACCCTCTTCAATTTCTCTTTTTTTTATAAATGAGTAATCAATTCTCATATCCTTCATTATGTCATGTTGAACAAGATTGCTCAAAATGCCAGTTGGGGATTTGATGTCATTATAGTGTCTAGGAGATGTATTATGTACTTGTAAATTCTCCATCAATTTACATTGCTAGATAACTTACCAACTTCTTGTGCAATGACGTGAAATTTTGCTTTAACGCTAGTTTTGGCCACTACTATTTGGTTTTTAGTTCTCCAAGCGACAAGATTCTCCCGTAGAATTGTGCAAAAAACCTAAGTTGGGATGTGTATCTCTTTATTTATCTTTTTTGTGTTTTTTAGAACATTAAGCATCTTCTTGTTAAGGTATTTCAATATATGATTTACATAATCCAAGTTTCTTTGAGTGGGAGATTGCTTTGAGTGACTTAACACTCCATTTATGTCCCAACTTAGTGAGGGTAGAGCTGAATCCAGTGAATTACACTTGTGGTGATTGTTTTAAGCTATAAAGAAAATTTTTTACTTCCTTTTCCTTCTCCTAATTAAAATCCTGGAGAAATCTTCATGTATGCTTCATCTTCTAATTCTCCATTTAAGAAGGCATTCTTTATGTCATGATGATGAAGCTCCCTATATAGGTTTGTAGCTAAGGATAATAATACCCAAATGCAATTCAATTTTGCAACTGTAGCATATATATGTTCTTGTAATCTATCCCATAAGTTTGAATGAAGTCTTGAGCTACTAATTTTACTTTGTATTTGTCAATTTAGCAGTTGGCTTTATATTTCATGTACCTGCTTGCTTCTAATCACCATTTTGGTTTCAGTATATATGACAATTTCCTAAGTGTCATTTTCCTTAGTGCCTCATACACAATTCTAGGCATTGTAATTCCATTGATCTTGATGGTGAATGCCTTAAATTAAGGAGATAATAATTTAAAGTGTGCCAAATAATTTGATATAGAGTATTTTGTACAATTACTTATCCCTTTCTTGAATGCAATGGGTAAATCAAGATTATCACTTGCAACTTATTTTATCCATACCATTCTCCATGGTTGATGATTGGCGTTGTTGCTGAACTCTCTGTCACTCTGAAGGAATGATAATGCAATTTTCCATCATGGGTTCTTGTGTTAGTTTCCTCAGAATTTTGATACGAAGTTGGATGATTTTATATGTGAGAGATTGAGGTAGTAGAACAATGGATGTTAGTCATATTTTGGGATATTATAAGGGAGAGTGAAATCCTATTGGTATTCTTGGTTGTTCTCTATTGCAAGTAGGAGTCATATTCTGGCTTCGATCGACAATTGTTTTTTTTAAAGGTTGAAGAGTAATATTTATAAGTTCTTTTAAGTTGAAAAACATTCAACAAATAAGCATTTTATAGTCTTTAGATCAAACTTGTTTTGATTGGTTGGTTCGGAAAACTTTTGGAGCTAAAGAATTTAGAATTCTTAAGTCAGGATATCGGTCATGATGGACACTTATGGGTTTTAAAGTAAAGCGTCTTAGCTGGTAGATGGATGATCTGATATGTAGATGTGAGAATAGATTTCCCGAAGTAGTAGTTTGGAACATAGTTAATAAATGACAATAGATTTGATGGTGCAGATGTAGGTTAACAAATGTTAATTTTTCTTTTACCCACCATATTATAATGCCCATGCCATAACATAATATTAAAATTTTAGGAGACATAATTACTCACATTATTATGGAGGTTATGAGGTTGTTTATTTATGACAATGTAATATATCCCATTCCTTTCATCAGCACAACAATAATCTTTCTCGAAGTTTGGTCATGAAAAGTATTATGATAGGAGAAACACATTACTTTACATCATATTTTGTCAATTTCATAACATATAATAAATTATAAGTTTTACTTATGCATATATAGAACACCAATAAATAGTTGATTTAGTGCTTGAATCGTTCTTCATGCCATAGATGGAGATTTCAACCATGAGCCACCCAAACATCAATAGGATGATCAATCTTAGTAGATGCTTCATATTCTTGGGGTGATATTGGCATACGATCTAATGCCTTTACATCAATGATCCAAAGTAATTAATAATTTGTATTATCTTGTTGTGCCAATGCAATCCTCAACTTCTTTGTTTCTTGAGCCTCACCTTCTTTTTTTGTCGTTGTTTGATTAAGTAATTGATTAAGAGTCTCCATTTGTTTAGATGTGAAATCAAGAGACTTGTTTGGATTTGTCTCCCGTTGCTGAATCATCCAATTCATTCATTTACTTTTTTTAGGTTTTAGGCTTCATTTTTTTGATTTCCAATGTACCCCACAGCAATGATCACGAGTGTGATATTGGTTATAATGGTGCTAAAATCACACGGTCTATTTAGATTGAGAGCTTTGACATCAGTACTTCTTGTAAGTGGCTATTGCAGTGGAGCCAATAAGTGCCAAGCTTTCCGTATCTAATCACTTTAGTGTTTAGTTCATTACAACATTTTTTGGCTTTTTGCTCTCCTTCTACAGAAGAGTACCTTATGTAGGTAAATGTTTCATTCCAGGTAGTTTTCCTGAAACTTCGTCTAGATTGGAGTTGAAATCTTGGAGAGAATCCAATACCTTTTATTTTTGCAACATATTATTTAATATATTTTTTCTGCGTCCCTGGAACAACATTCAGCTTCATAGAATAGATTTGTTTTTTTGCCAAAATTTAGTTGAATAGTTGTAATTGATGAAAGTATTGTTACTTTGTTAAGTTTTTTTATTTTGGATCTAATCTTAAGACATTGGGTTGTATTTTCTAAATCAGAGTAGATCTCTTGGATATAATCCTAGATTTCTTTTGTTGTTTTGTAGAAGAGGTAGGCTTTTCCAATAGTTGGCTCCATGGAATTTATGATCCAAGCCATGACACTGGAATTCTCGGCTTTACAATTATTATTATTTGATTCATCTTTGGATGTTTTTCTTGTGGTTCATGTCAAAAATTCAGCCTTCCTAATCCTCTTATCACAAGCAGAATTGATCGGAACCATTCATGAAAATCACTTCCATTAAGCTTATTGAGTGATTTAGAGGATTTGAATTTCATTCATGAGATGAAAATATAATCTTCACTTGACTTTGGAGTATTGTCTAAATCTCTCTCTAATGTCATGAACAAAGCATTAATTTTGAGAGAAGATTTTTACTCTTGCATTTTTTTGCTCGATGATAGGGCATGTTATCTTTTAAAAGAATAAAGAGACTATATCAGAAACTAGCGAAATTACCTAGTTTGCCTTTTCTTCTTTCTAAGGGTGTTATATGATGTGAATTATTGTTATTTGTTGGAAATGATTAGACCTATTTATATATGGTCGAAGTTGATGATTTGTCAGAAAAAAGGAGGCAATCATGCCACTGAATTACACATAGGTCACAAGACAACTGAATGAGAGGAATCCTTCAAATTGGGATGCAACAGTGGATTGGCTGGCGGTGTGGATCACACCATCTTTTGCTAAGATGGTGGAGACTCTGGAATCCAGTTGCGGGTCATAGCAGGGTAATGTATGGAGGTGTATTTGCTAATGAAGGGGCGACAACAGTTGGTTTTCTTTGGATACTTTGAATG